TCCTCTACGTCTCTACATTACAGTTAAATTAATTCCTCGCTGCATGTGCAGCTGTGTTCACATTTTGTGGATCACCCTTCAGTGCTGCATCAGCTAACCATTGTACAGTCACACAAAGCTTTGAAGACGTTTCTCATAGCAAGCGATGTAGTTTGAATTTGGATTTATTACACTGACACTCTTGGTAATCAACTGTCCATATCGGCTGTCTTGACACAGAATCCGTAATCAGGTAGTCCTGGTGAGGCCCGTTATAATAAAGTCTCGCGCCGTGATTTATACAAATAACGTTCTTGCTGTTCCTGTACTTAACACGTGGTTTTCCTAGCGTTCAATTGTTTTGTAACTTTATAATGAGCTGACATGTCTCTTGCTACAGATCTACATAACGTTTAAATTAGACAAAGAATGTTATGTAAGCCGAGTAAAATACAGCAAGTTATACACTATTAATGCAAAATGAATTTAATGGAATAAACATTTATCAGGATAAAAAACGCAATGTTGAAGCTAAATAAATAGAATGTTAAATGAACTAGCGTAGTATGACACGTCACAGTTGACGGGAATGAACCTTTTCTTCGATGGATAGTAATAAGGTTTATTGCAGCATTATCTTTGCAAATCGCACTGAAAGTAAATTTATAACATTTCTTCATAAAGTAAATTGAATGTGAAAACATCGTCATGACAACAGAAGCCAGATTCCTATCAAAAACAAAACCGACCGCTTGACTCCAAACTGCCAAATCCCTCCACTCTGGCCGTTTTATTTTTTGCTATCAGAGTGGCCACCGTCAGAACTTAATTTTGTTTCTTTCCGCATTGTAGCGGACATTGGCTGCTACACGTATTCTAAATAGATAACTGAAGTTACAGATTTATGTGCCATGCCATGAGCGTATAAGAGGCGTTGGGGTAAAACTTCACGTCTACTATATTTCTTAGATATATCGAATTATCAGCTGGACTCTTTGATCTGATCAATCAGTCAGGGCTCATAGCCCTGATCATGGAGACATCAAGCATCACTTCGGTAAATTTCCACCAGACTTCACGGCGCAAAACCCAGAATTCAGCCATCTTCATATTAATCTCGCATTTCCTTTCTGATACATTGCAGTAGTCTCTAATATGAATCACATCAATCATGTAATTTACCTGTTTAATCCAATTTCACTTTATACGTTGTGTCAGGTAAGTCTGCTTTTATGCGGCAACAAATATGACGTGGAACGGAACAAGAGGGTCACTAGAAAATCTATACTGGAGGCTGTAGTTGATTCTCATACAATGTCTGAGGTTGATAGTTCAGACCTGGCCGCTTTAACGGACGTCCCAGTATTATGTCACGTTTCCTTTGTGAGATCATGACACGACAACACAAGTGTATAGAACTATGAGGTTCTCTGGACAGCATGCTCTTACCGACAAGCGTATATTTCGTTATAGCCAATGATTTGAGCTGAAAGAGGCCCGAATTACGTAGCTGCAAACTGAGCATTCGACAAGCCCTTCCTATACACCACACAACATAAATGAACGTTTTGTAGTTAATATTTACATATCACCATCTGTCCAGGACCATTTGCAAGTCAAATACCACGACCTTTGTACCAGAAAGTATAGAGGAGCTTGACTGAGACAATTTACATATTATCATAAATGGAAGTTGCCTGTATATACACAAGTCCAATATAGTGTTTGAAAATCACTAGGATATTTGTCTAAAAATAAATGTTTGGAGTGAATGTACGCTGTTCGTTTAGTTATTATGAAATTTATAAAAAAATTATCAAATAAAGTTTTGAGAACCGGATATGTTTCCGAAACATTGTTTGATGAAAACTAAGACGATAGATACTGTCTATTATCAGAAATATTTAGCTATGTTTCTTTAAGGTCATGCAAATTGTCTGAAACGATTCTAGAATGAGCTATATATGCATATAGAGAGTGTCCCAAAGAGATGTATGCAGCTATAATGTGGTGGCCGCTTGCCAGTCACGTGCACATCTCTATCAGTTGTGCCACGAAGCTAACGGTGGTAATTTTTAACACCTACACTAGATTCGCTAACTCACCAAGTGTCATTGCTGACGTGTGTAAGTAATTATTTAGTGGCTGTGTGTATATCAACATGTAAAAAAATATTCTGTCGTCTTATTTTTTATTTTGTTTTGTACAGTGCGGCGTATATGTGCACGTAAGAACGGACATGGAGTGTTAAGAAATTTCATCTTTGTAAGAACAGTAGAATCCGAATTATTCTTATTTCTCTATTTATAATTATATTTTATTAAGAAGTATAAAGTAAGACCAGAAATTGAGGGACAAAATTTCATGAGACATTACTTGCATCATCTAAATATAAATTATATTGATGTAAAATGCATAGAAGTGGCGCGTGATGAAATACAGGCTCGTAATTTTCTGATATTGCGATCACACATTCGAGTTTTACTATCAGATTTACAGTTAAGTTTTTTTGGTAGATTTGTTAGTTTATTCGTAAGTTGCTTAGACGATTAGTACATTGTAAAAACTTTCCGAACGTCTATAAAAAACTGTATTTTAAACTATTTTACATGCGGTACCTATTTATTCCCTGACTGCATTTAGCAATTAGAAGCATGTTGTATTCAACTAACCTAGAAATACATTTATTCTATGATGTGTATCTAGCTCTGGTAAACAAGTGAAATGCTTTGTAGACAGTATTATGTTAGTAAATATGTAATCGTGTTTAAATTAAATTAGATTATCCCCCTCTCATGTTCGAACGGTCGCGCTAGAATATAAAACTATATGTAATCTTCTTCACTATTAATAGGTTTGCATTTATTCATAAAACAATTTTTACGTCGTCAGTCAACTCGGAGTATTAAACTATTAGAATTTTCTTTTCTTTTCAAGTGCAGAACTACGATTTATTTTTATTCAGGTTTGCACGACTAGAGTGTAATATATATTTTTCGTTTTCGGATAAATCGCTTTTAATTTTGGTGCTCTAAAGTGTCAAAAAATATTGCTGTTCCCATTTTCAGGGTGGATGTCTTTAAAACCTCGCTCATATAGACATTCGCCCTGAAGGTGATAATTGAAATGTTTGCTGAAACGTTAGAACCCGACGTGATTTATCCCGAAAACCGAAGGTGTACTCCATATTGGAAACACGTGAGGCAATTTAGAACCCGACGCGATTTATCCCGAAAACCGAAGGTTTACTCCATATTGGAAACACGTGAGGCAAGTGGCCTGTGTGCAGGCAGTTGGGTTTAAGGGGTTAGGTATTTTACGTTGTCTTTACCTCCAATGTCTAACGAAACCGAACCCCGGTTGGAATATCAACTCCTAGCAGATTTGGGCGACTGATTCTGTTCTATGTTTTTCCTACAAGGAAAATGGAAAAGGTGAATGATGTTTGTCTTCTGAATATAATAAAATATTCTGATTCGTTTGCTTTAGAGAATGAAAGATTTGATTTATTCATTATTGTGTCGACTAACTTGATTTATTCGGTTATGTTATTTAGGAATCAAGGCTTAAGCCTGTCACTTTACTCACATAATATTATTGTTGTTATTATTAAAATACCGTCGCCATCATTAATTAAGCCGATGCTGCTTTGTTGTTAAAACCAGTGCAT